TCTCAGTATGGTGGCTCTTGCCGGCCTTTCCCTTATGCACAGGAGTGTGGACTCATACTATCCACAACGATAGGGATGATTGATGAATGACGACCTTTCTTAGCTCAAAGCACTCACCAGACTGTGAGTTTAGCATGCGTGGGAATGCAGCAAACAAGCTCCTTAACTCAACTAGTTGTTAGGGTGCTTAGTATCAGTTCATAGTTTATACATGTAATTTTCTAGGAGACGAATAGTAGGGCAAAAAGTGCACTCATGATTGCTGCCCCAATTTTTCATGACTTCCACCACGTAAAACTCGGCTGTCCATCTGTTGCCTTCTCCCTTGCTTAGCAGGTCCTTCATAGGAAACAACCCATTACCTCCCTAAGAAGTGGTCCAATTTGGTCAATCTGCAATAACTGTGAGTCGTTTTTTCCTATGCAATCCTGCCATTTTGACATGTAGTGTTTCTACGATGGCGTCATGCTGGCCCACTACCCTGCTGCCGGCCCACTGTCATGAAGCCGGCCCATTGTCGTGCTGCCGACCCACTGCCGTGCTGCCAGCCCGCTGTCGTGCTGCCGACCCACTGTCGGCCCGCTGTCGTGCTGCCGGCCCGCTGTCATGCTGCCGGCCCACTGTCGTGCTGCCGGCCCACTATCGTGCTTCCGGCATGCTATTGTGCTGCCGAGATACTATCATGCTGTTGGCCCACTATCATGCTGCTGGCCCACTGTCGTGCTGCTGGCCCACTATCATGTTACTGGCGCATTGTCGTGCTGCTGGAACACTATCGTGTTGCCAGCCCATTGTCGTGCTGCTGGTGGCAACATGAACCTCATTGCTGTTGCAGCGTGCCCATGGCTGTCCTGTCAATCCCATGAACACAATGTTTTGATTTATTAACAAACAAAGGAGGGATGTACCTACTTGAACCATGTCTTTGGTCCAGGGTACATACGAGTTCGAAACTTGTTTGACCCTTTCTTGTTAAGGTTATGTTCGCCCCTACGAATTTGATACTTGAAGTTTCACTGATTGTATGGAACAATTCCGCTAGGATTCTTGGCCCTAACTGACTTGTCTATGATGTAAGTTTCATGTATCCTCCCTGTTTCATCCATTGTTAAACCCCCACTCAGTCATTGCCTATGTTCCTCATGCCTTCCCCACTCAGTTATTGTTCTGCCCCCCTCTACTACAGAAACCTTTCGTGGAACCAGCTGTCTGGTTCAATACCCCCTGCATTTGCGACCAGCATCCAGTCAATGTATGTCACTCTTCCCTCCGCCTTCTGTCCCAACTTCACAAGACTAACCCCAACTGTTGGGAGATTAATCAAACCCGGTCAGCTTCTGACCGAAGCGGTTTGGTTCGGTCGAGTCAAACCTTTTCATGGATTCTTCTAGCTTTGAGGTTCGCCATATTATAGGTGAACCGCAGAAGCTTGATCAAACTTCAGAAGGTCCACTCAAACCATTTTCGGCTTCATAGTTTCTTTTGACATAATCACATACACATAGCATGTTTCTGGCAGCTTTTTCTCTTGTGGACCTGCTGAGACAGGTTCTCCCTTCTTTAACTTCTTCCTGCAATAAGGGAAAAGGGAAAAGGTACTGTTTGACAAAACTATTTCCTGAAATAAACAAGTTTGCATGGGTAGGTAGTCGAACCAGTTCGAGCGAGGTTCGGCTCGCTGCTCATGTCTCGGCACATTCTACTTCTTGTACCTTCATGTCTCTAATGTATCTCATGTATCTCATGTCTCTTATGTATCTCATGTCTCTCCAGTCTCTCATGTCTCTCATGTCTCTCGAAATCTCATGTATCTCATGTCTCTTATGTATCTCATGTCTCTCAAGTCTCTCATGTATCTCATGTCTCTCAAACTCTCATGTATCTCATGTCTCTCATGTCTCTCATGTATCTCATGTCTCTTATGTCTCTCAAGTCTCTCATGTATCTCATATCTCTCATGTCTCTCATGTCTCTCATGTCTCTCTTTTCCTTTCCATAGTTGAATCTTCCCTCCCCTTTCCCGACCCACCTCGCCACCACGTCACCGCCACGTCATGCACCGCTCCAACCCACCCTCCTTGCCGCCACGTCACACCCAACCCGCCCCACATCTCATGCCACGTCACACCCGACCCACCTTGCCACCACGTCACTGCCACGTCACACGCCGCTCCAGCCTACCTCCTCGCTGCCACGTCACACCCAACCCGCCCCACATGTCATGCCATGTCACAACCGACCCACCTCGACTCCACGTCACCGCCACGTCACGTGCTGCTCCAACCCACCCTCCTCTCCACCATGTCACACCCAACCCGCCCCACATGCCATGCCACGTCACACCCGACCCACCTCGCCGCCACGTCACGCGCCGCTCCAACCACCCTCCTCACTGCCACATCACACCCAACCCGCCCCACGTGTCATGCCACGTCACACCAGACCCACCTCGGCGCCACGTCGCTGCCACGTTACGCACCGCTCCAACCCACCCTCCTCGCCACCACGTCATACCCAACCCGCCCCACATTCCATGCCACGTCACACCAGACCCACCTAACCGCCACGTCTTCGCCACGTCACGCGCCACTCCAACCCACCGTCCTCGCCGCCACGTCACACCCAACCCGCACTGCCATGCCACGTCACACTTGACCCACCTCACCGCCACATCACCGCCACATGGATCATCTTGCCCGTCACTGCCCTCACTTGGAGCAGCTATCTCTGGACTGGCTGGAGGAATATGCTGACCCTCCAGCTTCTCTCTTTCTCCTACTGTCACGCATCCTTGTCTTGAACGGCTCCGGAAATCAGCTCCCTTACCTCACTCTTTGCACTCTCTAAGCTCTCAAGCCTCCTTCACCTCACCTACCTCTCCCTGCCTTAAATTGGCCTTTTTTCCCAAGATAGACCTGACCCTCCACTTGCACAACTACCATTTCTCCAGTCACTGAAATTCGGACTGCGGCATGCACAGTTCAGCCACATTTTTACGCCCGAATTTCAATACAGTACAGGGCCTTAAAACAGTTGCAGCTTACCCAATGCTACACCTAAGTGCAGCTTCCAAGCAGTATAGGGGAGGTGATGCCACGCCTCCAAGAGCTAAGCATCATTAACTACAGAAGCTTCAGCGGCCTGACAGATCAGTTCACCTTCCTCACCTGCCTGGGGAGCTTGACCATTTCCTCATACCACATGTTCAATCACTTGCCCAAAACACTGGAATCCTTCCTGCAATGAAGACGCTGGTGCTGCACAAGCTGCCGCTTCTCCATCTCCCTGTGTCCTTCACCAGCCTTGCATCTCTAGAGACATTTCTTCTAGTTGGGTGCGAGGGGGTGGATGCCTCACAGCACTGCAGACTCTGTCTCTTGTGTGCTCCCCAACCCTGGCCCTTCCAGAAGAGTTGGGGAAGCTCACCAATCTTGAGATTTTCCATGCCAAACAGAACCACGGAGAGCAGCTGCCGTGCTCATTGACGCAGCTGACATTGCTGACCAGGTTGGAGTTGGATGAGGGCATGATGGGTGGGATTCTCAAGGGAGTGGGGACGATGGCAAAGCTTCAGGAGCTGTACATTCAGGGCTGCCCACACATTACAGGGATTCTGGAATCTACGACAAACCTTGTCAGCCTTAGGGTGCTCATCGTGAGTGTTCGAGCTTTTCATCGGTTCCCAGGAGGCTGAACAGCCTTACCAGGCTCATGCAGTTGGAGCTGAGGGGATGTACGCTGCTGAACAAAGCCCCTCAAACTTTGCCAGTCACTCTCCAGGCTCTCTCCTACGAAAACAGTCAGCAGGTAGATTCTCTGCCAGACATTCCATCACTTAACGAACTCACGGAATTTCACTTGGGCATTGCAGGTGCAAGGTGTGTTGGGGCCATCGGTGAGCATCTGTCTGCTATGGAGCACCTGGACCTGCAGCTGGGAGAAGATGCTAAGGAGTCTCTGTCCGTGTTGACAAGGCTTGCTCGCCTCCGCACCTTGACACTCAAGCAGGTCCGCAGTGTGAACAATCTGTTGCTCGACCATCTGGTTGAGTCTGACGGCTCGGCGTTGCAGGAGCTACGGCAGTTGAACATACACACCTGGCGTGATGAATTCACAGAGCTGCTTGCGGCCATCACCACTCTCCACCACCTCACATCTATTCGAATAGAATTGCACATCGTATCGTCTCTTCCTGGTGCCATCGGAGCTTTGTCAAGACTGCGAAAGCTGAATGTATCCGACTTCTTCTCCCTCATGCGACTCCCTGCTTCCCTCATGCATCTCTCCTTCTTGCATGAGCCCAACCTCAGCTGCACCAGCATCCGGCTGCTTCCTGCTGGCTTTACTCAGCTCAGCAGACTGAAGAATCTCAAGCTTGGGAACTGCAGGCAGCTCCAGGCACTGCCTGACGATATATGAGATCTTCCCATGCTCGATCTTCTTGATACTAGGGGTTGTTACATGCTGCAGCGCTGAAGGTGCTTTCCACCTCAAAGGCTTACGGTAATTCCCTAGTTAGTGTACCGTCATGCCCATATACTCAGGGGTCCTTTAAATGGCTCAAACTCGGACTTGACTGAGTGTAACGTCCTTTCCATCCATAGTATTATGGGCCTTGTGAGTGCTGTGGGCTGTGGTGTTGAAGTGCTGTGGGCTGTGGTGTTGAACTGCTGTGGGCTGTGTTGTTGAAGTGCTGTGGGCTGTGGTGTTGAACTGCTGTGGGCTGTGGAATGAGCAGCAACAGATCTAGGCAACCATCAGCGCCCTCTCAGCACCCTGTTCACTTCTGTATGGTGACAATTGATAACAATTTACCCTTCCAAGCATGAGTGACGACAATGGCAACAGACACGTGTTAGGCATTTCTTTCACCCACCAGCCACCTTACTGTTCCATGCAACGGCAACAGACACGTGTTAGGCATTTCTTTCACCCACCAACCACCTTACTGTTCCATGCATAAACCCAATCACATTGCACACCTTACTGGTGTTTCAAACTCATAATACAGACAACCATCCTAGAACCTGCTGCTGCTGCTGCTTCTGCAGCCCTTGCTTCCTCTATACCAACACCTCACAAGCATACAGAGATCTCACATCTGAAAAAACAATAGAAACTGACATCCAGCATGTTCTTTCCTGCTCCAGCTTCCTTCTTTCCTGCTCCAGCTTGCAAAGTTTTTCATTCAAGGCCAGGATCAACCTGCTGCTCCTACCCGTTTTGCTGCTTCTTTTTTCTCCCATTCCGCTTTCCCATTCCGCTTTCGCCCGTGCCGCGTTCTCCCACTCCACTTTTTCCCGTGCCGTTTCACTCCCATACCTTACAAATTCACCTTTCCCGCATTCTCCAGTGCTTTCTCCATTGCCGCCTTCGTTGCCCTACTCACATCCTCTGGCCTCGACGCATTCACATAGTCTGCCATCACCGCCTTATGTGCTGCCGCCTGACCCGCCGCCATCGCCCATCCCGCGATCCCCGATGCCGTGTTCGCCTGTCCCGCCGTCTCCTCTCGCGCCACCTGATCTGCCAGTGTCACCTCATGAACCTTCGCCTTCACTGCCGACGCCGCCACCTGTGACGCCGCCGCCTGTGCTGCCAGTGCCGCCGCCTCCTGTGCCGGCGCAGCCTGTGCCGCCATCTCCTGTGCCGGGGCCGCCTGTGCCGCCATTTCCTGTGCCGGCGCCGCCACTGCCGGCGTCGCCTGTGCCGACGCCGACTCTGCCAGCGTCGCCTGTGCCGGTGCCACCTGTGACGCCGCCGCCTGTGTCGCCATCTCCTGTGCCGGCCCCGCCTGTGCCGGCCCCGCCTGTGCCGGCGTCGCCTGTGCCTCTGCTGGCGTCGCCTGTGCCTCTGCCGGCGTCGCCTGTGCCGACGCCACCTGTGACGCCGCTGCCTGTGTCGCCATCTCCTGTGCCGGCCCCGCCTGTGCCGGCCCCGCCTGTGCCGGCATCGCCTGTGCCGGCGTCGCCTGTGCCTCTGCTGGCGTCGCCTGTGCCTCTGCTAGCGTCGCCTGTGCCGACGCCACCTGTGACGCCGCCGCCTGTGTCGCCATCTCCTGTGCCGGCCCCGCCTGTGCCGGCCCCGCCTGTGCCGGCCCCGCCTGTGCCGGCGTCGCCTGTGCCGGCGTCGCTTGTGCCTCTGCCGGCGTCGCCTGTGCCTCTGCCGGCGTCGCCTGTGCCTCTGCCGGCATCGCCTGTGCCTCTGCCGGCATCGCCTGTGCCTCTGCCGGCGTCGCCTGTGCCTCTGCCGGCGTCGCCTGTCCCGGCATCGCCTGTGCCGGCGTCGCCTGTGCGGCCTTCTCCTGTGCCGCCTTCTCCTGCGCCGCCTTCTCCTGCGCCGCCTTCTCCTGCGCCGCCTTCTCCTGCGCCGCCTTCTCCTGCGCCGCCTTCTCCTGCGCCGCCTTCTCCTGAACCACCTTCTCCTGTGCCGCCTTCTCCTGTGCCGCCTTCTCCTGTGCCGCCTTCTCCTGTGCCGCCTTCTCCTGTGCCGCCTTCTCCTGTGCCGCCTTCTCCTGCGCCGCCTTCTCCTGCGCCGCCTTCTCCTGCGCCGCCTTCTCCTGCGCCGCCTTCTCCTGCGCCGCCTTCTCCTGCGCCGCCTTCTCCTGCGCCGCCTTCTCCTGCGCCGCCTTCTCCTGAACCACCTTCTCCTGTGCCGCCTTCTCCTGTGCCGCCTTCTCCTGTGCCGCCTTCTCCTCTGCCGCCTTCTCCTGTGCCGCCTTCTCATGTGCCACCTTCTCCTGTGCCGCCTTCTCCTGTGCCGCCTTCTCCTGTGCCGCCTTCTCATGTGCCACCTTCTCCTGAACCACCTTCTCCTGTGCCGCCTTCTCCTGTGCCGCCTCCTCCTGTGCCGCCTTCTCCTGTACCGCCTTCTCCTCTACCGCCTTCTCCTGTGCCGCCTTCTCCTCTGCCGCCTTCTCCTGTGCCGCCTTCTCATGTGCCACCTTCTCCTGTGCCGCCTTCTCCTGTGCCGCCTTCTCCTGTGCCGCCCTCTCCTGTGCCGCCTTCTCCTGTGCCACCTTCTCCTGTGCCGCCTTCTCCCCTGCCGCCTTCGCCAGCCGCTGCTGCTTACCCTTCTCCTGCGCCTTCATCTCCTGCTGGTTCTTCATCGGCAACCTCTGTCGCTGCTTCGCCACTGCAGCTGACACCAGCCGTTGCAGCTTGTTCCGCCACTGCTTACCCACTTTCTCCTGGTGCTTCCACTCCTCAACCGCCGTCAGCATTCTCTGCTTCTCAGCTCCACGCCCACCTGCTCAGCAGCCTGAAGCTGCTCGTCCGTGAACTTCTCATTCCGCTGCTCCTGCTGCTGCAGGTTTCGCTGCATTGGCGCACCATCTCGGACACGCAAGTGAGCCCACGAATCGCCAAAGTCAACTTTTCCAGAAACCGAGGGCCCAAGGGAAGCTTGGACTAAGAGACCGCCTGTGAGGGGGAGAAATTAGGGAGAAATTAAGGGGCATGAGTGCTAAGAAACGGCGGTTGCAGCTTGTGAAGCCCTTCGAAAGCTCTTCAGCCGACTGCCAGTCTACCGTGGATTCGCATCAGAAAAGTAACATATTAGCAGCGTTTTCGTAGTAGCTGCGATGGACGGTAGCTCTGCCCTTTTCAATCCTGCAATTGGCGCGCTTCGACGAGTGTGCGAACCAAATCAATGACCCTTGTGAGTCTTCTCGGCAAAATCCTGAAGGATGGGTCGTTAAATCCTTGGAAGAGTACGTATTACGTGCATTTTGTTCGGCTCAAATACTAAGAGAACGTACTCGTGCTCAATTACTTCCGTAAACCGATTAGTAGTAGTATGCGACTAGCATCTTCACTCGCATTTTTACCCGTTCACCGAGGAAAGGACAGTTAGCCGTTCGGACTGGAGTCAGTTAGTGTTCACCATCTTGGCCAGAAGCGGGACCGTCATATTCCATCTCCAAGTTGGAGCCCTACCATGTGGCTATGCTGCGTCGACACACACAAGAAGTTAAAAAAGGAAACGTCGGGAGTGAGGGCATCTTACGTGGATCGTTCTCATTGGCGGGAAGCAGCCTGCCACGAGCTCCTTCGCTGCCTCGCGGCCCGCAAGACATGGCCAGGACGAGAAGGAATCCCAGTAGCATCATAGTGACTGTCTCGTGACGAATTTGACTCTGGAAGGTGGTGCTGATGATTGTTGAGTAGGACTGTCGAGTCTGTTCAGTTTGCACTGCCAGTGTGGATTTACGATATGGAAAATATAGGCACAAGGACTTCACTACGCTGCTGGGGGTTGTCAACCGGACACTGACTGGTTCCCAAAGCTCGCGAGTCGCCAACCAGCAATCTCATCCTGTGCATAATGCGGAGGGGCGATAATGCGGGAAAGCAATAATGCAATCCCAGAAATCTGAAATGGTTAGGGCGTGATGCAATCAAGTCCCAGCAGTGCATGGGTCGATTGGAAGGCTCACGAAATGGGCTGCGACATAGGGTCTGCAACACTGATATTTGGTTATCTCATCCTTCAGACGGAGCAGGAGATCCAGTCACCATACGACCACATACGAAAAAACCACCACACTCCATAACTCGTCGCATCGTTCGTTCGGGTCTGGTTGAGAAAGTGTTTCGCGAAGGTTCAGCCAGAAGTGGTATGGTACTCCGCTGGAAAATTTCTCGCATAAATCACGAGAAAGGGTAACCCTCTTCGAGGTCCAACACTGGACCCCAGTTCCATAACATCGAACATGTCTGAGATGGAATATTGTGGAGGTGTAATAATGCAATGTGTCTGCGAGGCGCAACACTCGCGACCCTGGCGAAACGGACGAAATGTGGGGAATGTAACAAGCCGTTTTTTGGGTTGCGTAGCAACCCAAAATATTTGGTTTGACATTTTGGGGATATCATTTGAGAAGTGATATTTTATGCACTTTTTGGAGCACACGTTTGAATGTTTGGAACTGTGTTCAAACGGATGCCTCGAATAGTGAATAAAAGCACTCTCAAATGAGTTCCCATTTGTGAAACTAAGTACCGTACACATCATGTTGAAACCATGAACTTGCTCGACCGTCCCAGCATCGTCGGTAAATACGGCGGATGGTACGGCCGAGCATAATATTCTGGTATCAACATACACGAATGCAGTTGTACAAATGAACAATGTCAAAACATATTGTTATGTTCATTTCACTCTAGGTTGTGTAGGGGTTACACCTTAAAGGGTACAACCCAACTCTCTCGACAGTCTTGTACCCCCTCCCTCTTACTTAACACACATTCCTTCCTAGTATTCTAACATGGTATTAAGAGCTAGGACGTTCCTAGCCTAGGACCGTAATTAAGGGCCCACCACATTCGTTTTCACCTGCCCGACCGTTTTCACCTGAGCACAGCCCGTACAGCCCGCGCCAGGCCGTCGCGCAGCCCGTACAGCCCACGCCAGGCCCGTGCGCAGCCAGTACAGCCCGCGTAGGCCTGTCGCGAAGCCCGTACAGCCCGCGTAGGCCCGTCGCGAAGCCCGTACAGCCCGCGCCAGGCCGTCGCGCAGCCCGTACAGCCCACGTTAGGCCCGCACGCAGCCCATACAACCCGCGCCAGGCCCGCACGCAGCTCGTACAGCCCGCGCCAGGCCCGCACGCAGCCCTATAGCCTGCGCCAGGCCCGCACGCAGCTCGTACAGCCCGCGCCAGGCACGCACGCAGCCCTTACAGCCCATGCCTGGCCCGCACGCGGCTCGTGTTACTGCTGCACTCGCTGCTGCTGCTACGCTGCTGCGCCTGAACTGCTGCTGCAGTGCTGCTGCCGCCTGCACTGCCCTGCTACTGCTGCTGCTACTTGCTGCAGCTGCTCCTCCTTGCTGCTGCTACTGCTGCTTGCTGCAGCTGCTCCTCCTTGCTGCTCCTGCTGCTACTTGCTGCAGCTGCTCCTCCTTGCTGCTGCTGCTGCTGCTGCTGCTACTTGCTGCAGCTGCTCCTCCTTGCTGTTGCTGCTGCTACTGAGCGCCGGCTGCTGCTGCTGCTGCTTGCCGCTGCTCCGCCACTGAGCCCGAGCCGCGCCGCCCTGTCCGAGCCGCGCTGCCCAACCTGAGCTGTCACTACTGCTGCTGCTGCAACTACTGCTGCTACAGCTAGTGCTACTGCTGCTGCTGCTACTACTGCACTTGCTACAGCTGCTACTGCTGCCACTGCTACTGCTGCTATGGCTAACCTGTCAGTTCTTACGTTCGATGCTGAGGGCCCGCGATTACCTTTGATGTCTGGCTCGACGATCTCCAGCTGTTCCTGCAGAGCGCTACTATCCGGGGTGATACGGTAATTTCATTCTGTCAGGACTATATTGTAGGTTGTAGTGGGGCACTCCTTCTGGGGTACAGTATTGCTAGGTTTTGCCTATACAAACCTTGTACTGTCATGTTTCTAGTTATTCCTCGTTCTATCTTTCACATGGTTTCAGAGCAGGTTCCCCAGTGGGAACGTTTTTTTTTTTTCCTGCCCTGCCCGAAGCGCGCTGCAGAGCTTCCCTGCCCTGTCGCGCGCCTCGCGCCTGCCTCACCTGCGCCCTTGCGCCTGCCCTGCTGTGCGCCGTCAAGCACCTGCCCTACCCGCGCCATCGAGCGCCTGCCCTTGCTGCGGCCGCCATCGCGCGCCTGCCCTACACGCCGTCGAGCGCCTGCCCTGCCTGCCGCCCGTCGAGCGCCTGCCCTGCCTGCCGCTCGTCGCAGCCCTGACCTCGCCGCCCGTCGCGGCCCTGCCCTGCTGCCGCCCCGTCGCGGCCCTACTCTGCCGCCGCCTCGTCGCGGCCCTGCCCTACGGCCGCCCCGTTGCGGCCCTCACCTAACCGCCCATCGCGGCCCTGCCCTGCACCCGCCCCTGGTAAGCGCTCCTGCTGCCCGTTGCGTCGCGCGCCCCTGCTGCCCGCCGCGCCGTGCGCCCCTGCAGCCCGTCCCGTCGCGCGCCCCTGCAGCCCGTCGCGTCGCGCGCCCTTGCAGCCCGTCGAGTCGCCCGTCGGCCCTGCCCGTGCCCGTCACGTCGCCAGAGCGGGCTGCCCTAGCCCGCCGCGACGCCCGCCCGCCCTGCATGCCTGCGCGCCGCCACTGCCCGCCCCGTGTCGCGCCGTCCCGTGCAAACCGAACGCGCGCAGACCGTTGCAGCCCGCGCGTCGCCCGTTTGCAGCCCGCGAGCCTCCCCTGCAGCCCGCGAACCGCCCCTGCAGCCAGCGCGCGTGCCTCTTGCAGCCAGCGCCCTGCCCCTGCAGCCCGCGAGCCACCCCTACAGCCCGCGAGCCGCCTCTGCAGCGCCCAGTGCGCCCTGCCAAACCCTAAAATAAATAAATATTTATTAAAAAAATATTTAATTAAATTAGAAGAGCCCTAGGTGCTGCTGCCCTAGGAGCTACTGCCTACTACTGCCCTTTTGGCCGCGCGCCGCCTTTTCCTGACAGTGCGCCGCCTCGACCTACCCTAGTGCCTGTTCGCCGCCCTGCCTTTCCACTATGACGTCTCTTCGTGGTAGCAGTGGAAGTGGTGCCGGCGGTGGTGGCAGTCTAGGCGGAGCTGCTCGGTGGGGAGTTTCTGGCGGTGGCCAGATACAGCTCCAGCGACGTCCGCACGAGTCCCTCACGCCCCAGCAGCTTCGTGAGTGGTACGCTAGTTGGGGTTGTGGTGGCCGCCATAGTGGCTGTCGTGTCTCGCGCCGTCCCTTACGGCCCCTAGCGCGGCCCCTTACGGCCCCTTACGGCCCCTAGCGCGGCCTGTCGGCCCCTTACGGCCCCTTACGGCTCCTAGCGCGGCCCCTCGTGCCGCCCGTCGGCCCCTTACGGCCCCTTACGGCCCCTCGCGCGGCTCCTTACGGCCCCTTACGGCCCCTTACGGCCCCTCATGCGGCCCCTTACGGCCCCTCGCGCCGCCCGTCGGCCCCTTACGGCCCCTTACGGCCCTTCGCGCGGCCCCTTACGGCCCCTTACGGCCCCTCGCGCCGCCCGTCGGCCCCTCGCACCGCCCTCAGCGGCCCCTTACGGCCCCCTACGGCCCGTCGCCGCCCTCCGCGGCCCCTCGCGCCGCCCCTTCACGGCCCGTCGCCGCCCTCCGCGGCCCCTCGCGCCGCCCCTTCACGGCCCGTCGCCGCCCTCCGCGGCCCCTCGCGCCGCCCCTTCACGGCCCGTCGCCGCCCTCCGCGGCTCCTCGTGACGCGGCCCCTCGCACCGCCCTCTCCGGCCCACTGTCGCCGCCCCTACCGCAGCGGCCGCCGCCGTC